CAGGTCGGTCGATCGAGTGCGACCTCTTCCCAGTTGGTCGGGTTGATTTGCAGGCACTTCAGGGAGCACATCAGGGTATCCTTGTAGCGGCGAATCTGGCCTCCTTGACGGCGAGAACCCGTCGCGACGTCTCCGTAGAAGAGTCGTTTGGGTATTCGCTCGTCGTCCATGCGCACCAGGTGGCCGTTCCAGCGCAGCTGCATTTGTCTCAGTATGGCGTATATGCTGAGCATTCCCGTACGTTCTAGCACATCAGTGTCCGGGATGCGATCCTGCCAGTTCAGCCTCAGGATGCGACGAAGACAGCTGAGGTGAAAGTGATTCAGTCGGCGTGCCTGTCTCGTCTACACCGTCCAAGTCTCCGCTCCATACAGTAGCGTCGGCAGGATGACGGCCTTGTACATCTTCAGCTTCGTGCTTAGTTGAAGACCGTGGCGATTCCAAACTGTTCTTTGGAGACGACCGAAGGCTTGACTGGCTTTCGAGATCCTGTTAGCGACTTCGTCATCGATCTCGGTGTTGCGGGACAGGGTACTGCCCAGGTACGGGAAGTTCTCCACCACTTGCAGTTGGGTTCCGTTCACGCTGATTTGCGGCGGCGCGTTGGGGGCTGTGGCTGAGTTGTGTGGCGATTGGTGCATCACCACCGTCTTCTGCGCGTTAATGACCAGACCGAAGTTCTCGCAGGCGGCGGAGAACAGGTCCATGCTCCGTTGCATCTCCTCTTTCGAGGTGGTGTTCAGGGCGCAGTCGTCGGCGAAGAGGAGTTCGTGCACGGTGGTTGTAGATACGCGCGATTTGAAGTGCATCCGCCGTTGATTCAGCAGGTGGCCGTCCGTTCTGTAGGCGATGCGGATCCCGGGGTGTTCGTCGCGGTAGGCGTCCATCAGCATGGCAGAGAACATAAGACTGAAGAGGGTAGGCGCCAGTACGCAGCCCTGCTTCACTCCGTTGGTCACTGCGAATGCCTCTGAGACAGCTCCGTTGTCCGTGACTCGCGCCATCATACCGTCGTGCAGCTGACGCACCATCTGAGTGAATCGCTCTGGACAGCCGAATTTCTGCATGATTTTCCACAGTCCTTCACGATTCACCGTGTCGAAGGCTTTCGTCAGGTCCACGAAGGTAGAGTACAGGTGGGTCCGCATCTCCTGACACTTCTCCTGAAGTTGACGGGCGGCGAAGATTATATCCGTGGACCCACGATGACGACGGAAGCCGCATTGGCTTTCCGGCAGAAGGCCCTGTTCCAGATGGTTATTGAGGCGGTTGAGCAGGATGCGAGCGAAGATCTTCCCGGCGATGTTCAGCAGGGAGATGCCGCGGCGATTGTCGCACATTTAGCGGTTTCATTTGCGTTTGTATAGGTGCACGATTGTTGCGTCCTTGAAATCTTGCGGGACTTCACCTTGACGCCACATCTCCTGGAAGAGCGCAGTCAGGTGATCCATCAGTTGGGGACCACCATGCTTGTAGACCTCAGCAGGGATTGCGTCCGATTCGGGTGCTTTCCCGCTGGAGAGCTGCTGCACGGCCCTGATGGTCTCCTGGAGAGATGGCGGGAGGTCGAGGTCCACGTTGGTCTCCACTTGCGGCAAGCGGGCGTTGGCGGCGTCGGAGATGACGGAGGGGCGGTTGAGGACGCCTCGGAAATGCTCGGCCCATCGCTGTAGGATTTGCGTCTTCTCAGTCAGGAGAGTGCTGCCGTCGGCGCTGAGGAGAGGAGCGGTGCCCTTCGTCGGCGGACCGTAGACAGCTTTGATCGCGGAGAAGAAGTTCTTCCATTCGTTCCGGTCCGCGTACCCTTGGATCTCCTCAGCTTTGCGAGCAGTCCAGGCGTCCTGCATCTCGCGCAGACGTTGCTGAAGTTGGCGGCGACTGCGGTAGAAGGCAGCTTTGTTGTCCTCAGTGGGATGATCTACGTAGGCTTTGTGTAGGCGGTTCTTCTCAGCAAGCAGATTTCTGATGGCGGCGTCGTTGTCGTCGAACCAGTCCTTGTGTTGACGGGGAGCGCGACCAAGGACGGCGAGCGCCGTCGACTGGACCGTGTCTCGCAGTTGACACCAGCGGTTCTCCACGGAGGCGTTCTCGGCAGCGACGGCGGCGTCGGCAGCGATTGGAAGGTTGTCTAGCCGTTGAGCTAGCTCATTGCTGAAATAAAGACGGTGAGAGGGCAAAGACAACAGAGCAACATTCAGCTTACCCGGGGGTCGCTAACCTTGTTGTCCCTGCGAGGCTGTAGGCGAATACGCATCTTCGAGATGACGAGGCGATGGTCGGTCCACCCGTCAGCATCCGCGATCGCCTTCGTCACCAGCACATCCCGCTGATCTCGCCTCCGGACGAGGACATAGTCCAGCAGGTGCCACTGACGCGACCGAGGATGCCTCCAGGTGGCCTTCTCTCGCTCCGGCAGACAGAAGAAGATGTTCGTCAGGATGAGGCGGTGTTCTGCGCAGGTGCGGAGAAGCAGCAGACCATTGTCGTTGGAGCCGCGGAGACCGTGGGGACCCAGCACTTCCCTCCAGGCAGTATGGTCTGTGCCGACGCGGGCGTTGAAGTTGCCAAGGACAATCAACTTGTCCGCCTTCGACACAGTCGCCAAGAGGGCGTGCAGGTCCTCGTAGAATTTGTCTTTGACGGCGTCGGGGTTGGTCATCGTCGGAGCGTAGGCGCTGATGATGGTGGCGAATTCGCCTCCCCAGAGAGGCAGGCGGAGGCTCATCAGGCGATCGTTGATGCCTTGCTGCAGACTGGGCAGTCGTCCCACGATGTCGTTCCGGATGGCGAAGGCGACACCCGCGTCTCGTCGCTCTGCCTTGGGTAGACCACTCCAGGAGAAGGTTTAATCGGCACCCACCTCCTCCAGTTGGCCTTGTTCGGAGAATCGGGTCTCCTGAGTGCGGCGATGTCCACCTTGTAGCGCGCCAGTTCTCGTGCCACAAGTGCCGTCCTCCGTTCCGGTCGGTTGCTCCTCGGATTGTCTAAAACGGAACGAACATTCCAGGCTGCCAGAGTGAGCTGGCTCACCCTGTCAGTCTGGGGAAAGCAAGTGGGGCGACGGGAAGGAGGTGGAGAAGAAGATGACGAAGGAGAAGAATAAGCAAAAGAATAGACGGAGGTAGAGGAAGAAGAGGTAGGATGAGGAGAATGAGTATGGTTGTTGTTGTTGTTGTTTCGATTTTGGTTGTTTCGATCGTGAGTTTTGCGTCTGCGACCACTGTGAACCAGCAGACGACGTGGTTCCCCAGCAATTTTTAGGCCAGCTTTTCCAGGCCCGCCCCGAAGGAAGCAGTGCCCTGACCCTGAATAGGGCTGCTTGATGTGCCGGCGCGGCCGAACTCCACTGTGGGCCACGAGTTTTTTGGCAGTGGATGAACGACTCGAATTTGCCAATGGCTTACGGCATTGCTGCAAACCTGCGGTCTCCTACGGTGCACCAGATGGGCGCGTGTCGACGGTGCCAATTCGGAGATCGATCCCACCGGCTGACCAGCGGTGTGCCAGACAGAACCTCGTCACGACGGCGCCGACGTGGTGTTCCATCCGACCAACCGTCCACGGAGTCCGCAGTCACCTGTGCACGCGGCATAACGCGCACAGGGAGTAACCGCCCTCGCCTGGTTTAGCCCGCCGGTCGAGGCGGTTGCGCGGGGTGTGGCCGCTGAGCAGAGCCCAGCTGCGTGGAGCCACAGGTGAGAGTTGAGTGCCAGCAAGTGGACGCTAGGCGTAGTCTCACCTGCAAGCAAGTGAGCGACCACTACGACCTTCACGTGAACCCACCGCTAACACCCCTACACCCCTGTTTATTACTATAGAACCACAAAGAATATCCGAGTTATTCGGACTGTCTTCTGGCCTAGTCTTGACCTCGAGTGCGTCTATTCTGGTTAACAAACTAGCATTGACTCAAATGAAATCCAAATAATATTAATAGTCGGATTGTGGGTAAATCAATTCCAGAGATGTCCGACAGGGCCAATCTGCAAGCAGAATGGGTTGGAAGTTGGCGTTGCGTGTCAGGGCCACCTGAGAATAGTTGGGTTCGTTTTGGCCTTGGCAGCGGTGATACGCTTGGCATCATAGATGGCTGCTCCAGTCCTCACGGTCCTTCCTCAGGCTTATCGGTTCTGTGCGAGGTCATTCCAGGATTATGGTCGATTTTTAGCCACTTCAGGGAATTTTTTAAGGTGCCCTTGTAGCGGCGCATCGCGGAGCATCAGTGACGACATATCCATAGAAGAGTTGTTTTGGTAGGCGCTTGATGCCTATTCCCACGAGGTAGCTGTTCCATCCTAGCTGTAGTTGCCTCAGCATGGCGCGAATGCAGAATATTCCAAATCTTTCCAAAAATTCTGTGTGCGGGATCCTGCCTTGCTATGCCAGCTTTAGTATCCATCGGAGACAACTGGAGTGAACTTGGTTGAGTATCCGCGCTTGCTTCTCATAGACCGCTCAGACTTCCGAACCACACTGTAGCGTCGTCAATCCAGTTCAGTTTATTTAGGAAAATATAGGCGAGGGCTTTTACGCTCCCTACTGGTTACAACCCGTCTGAGAAAAGCACTGATAAGTGGAAAGTTGGAAAAGAGATTTTGTGCATAACTGCATGAGCAAGGCAAGCAGCTTCCAGCTAGTCCAAAGAGAGTGATCATTAACGGTTCCTCATCCCTCATAAGTAGTATAAACGTATATAATTTGGGTGATGGGTTGTGTGACTGAGTGTGTGGCTTGTACATGGGAAGCTTGATTCGCGTTGACTCTACACATAAATGAGTCCACACAGGAGGAGTGTACAAAATCAGTAAGTAGGGCGTTCCACTCTGCGACCACTCTGTTACTGAAAAAGAACTTTCGTTCATGGATCCTTGCTTTGTCTAGATGACTAATTTGTGTATCTCCAGCTTATTGTTGAGGGGGATACCGTGACGGATTTATTCACCTCACCAAAGAATAGGTTGGCTTTTGAGGTGTGGTGGAAAATTTCGTCGTCGATTTCGATGCAGTGTGAGAGTGTACGGTCTAGGTGGTCGAAGTTGTCTACGGTTTTCAGTTGGGTGCCGTTGACGTAAATGCGAAGAACATTGTATGGGGGCGGTCATGACTCTGTTGATAATCAGCTCGAAGTTGCCGCAGTCGGAGGCAAGGATGCCTATGCTCTATTACATGTCGCCTTCTGTTGCAGTCGACCATGAATAGCAGATCTTGGACAGTAGTCGTGGATAGACGCGTTGGAAACTACATGCGCCGGCTGCTGAAGTGGTGCCCGTCAGTCCTCTAGGAGATAGATACCCCGGGGTGCTTATCATGGTAGACGTCAATGAGAAATGTAGAGAACACAAGTCTGACGAGGGCGGGGGTGTTTACGCAGCCCTGCTTTACTCCCTTGATTACCGCAAATGCCTTTGAGTCCGTCCGACTGTCCGAGACTCGCGCCATCACCCCGTCGCAGGACTGACGCACCATGTGCGTGGGTCACTCGGGATAGTCGAATTACTACATGGGTTTGCACCGCCCATCGCGATTCATTGTGTCGAAGACCTTCGTCAGATCCACGAACGAAGTGTGTAGATAGGTTCGCATTCCTGACATTTATCTTGCAGTTGGCAGGCAGCGAATAACATGTTAGCGATTCTGCGTTAGCTTCGGAAGCTACGCTGGCTTTCCGGCATATGTCTCTGTTTTAGATGGCCGATGGGACGATTTAGAAGGGTGCAAATGAAAATCCGTCTGGGCAGAGAGGTTCCTTTAACGGTATCACAGAGTTCCCTTTCTGCTAGTAGAGATTTTCGACTGTGGCGCCCTTCAAATCCTAAGGAATTAATCTTTGTCATCACACGTCCTCGAACGGCGTTGCGCGATTTCTCTCAGTTGGGGACCGCCGTGCATGTAAACTTCCGCCAGGATCGCGTCGGA